CCAGTGTGAGTAATGAGAGTATATCGTCAACGATGCCCTTGTTCGGATGAAAGTTTTATTTCAAATTACACGGAAGTCTGTGAACAATCTGCTTGGTGTTCCTGTGACACTTGTCCCATGATTTGCCAGTGCAGCCCCGTGAATACATGGACGAAAATGTTTCCACCACCACCCTATGAACTCAAGATTGCATACTCCAGCATCCATACTTTGAATAATTTGCATACCGCACAGTGCAGTACTGGAAACAACATTTATTAGACAGTTAGACAAAAAACAAAACAAAATGCCTGTCTCAATCAATCGCACATCCATAATGTTTGTATGTTGATATGCTTGTAAAAGTCGAAACAACCTAGACTAGAAGTCAATTCACCAGTCCAGCCAGCTATGGCTCCCTAAGTTGCTTATATTTAATCAGATACTATTTCGTCATCATGCTTTGTTACCTTACCTGTTTATACCTCATGAGGGTGTTTTTTTATGGCAAGATGGCGCAAACGGAAGTCCTTCGCAGGTTTATGGTTTCTCATATTTAAATCATCATAACTCTGAAGATAATCATTTTTTTTTTTTTTTTTTTCAAATTTATAATCAATATACATAACTTGATAAATACAAACACCAAAATAGGCTCTATTTAGTTCCCCTTTAACACTTAATCTTTTCACCACCAGACTTTCTCACCCAAATTTGTCTGCACTTTTTTTCTAATGTTCTTCAATATTTCTCGAAATGAACCGTAATTCTGGAGCCAACAGTAAAAATTTGAGTTAATTACATTGGCTATTTTTGACTCAATCTTCTGAAGGAAAGTGCAGACTATAAATAGGACTACATACATGTATGTATTTTGCGAATTTGTGATAAAAACAGATGACTGGAGGTGAAAAGGTTTTAAGTAAAAGGTGTATTATACATTGTGTACATGTAAGAATAATGCCAGAAAACAAACATAAAAGTGCTTTTGTTTGTGTAATTATGTCTAAATTAGATTTCACGCAACATACATGTATCATTTCCTTCTGTGTATGTACAAATGTAGTACGTTATAGATAGGGTATATATATATACCGTAATTTTCTACAATTTGTACAGATACCATAGCACTAAGTTTCTGTCATGTGCTGACTTTATTGAAAAAATTGAAAACAAGGATATGACATACAATCTCACAAGGGAGATGTACTATAATATCATATCACCAAGCATGACTTCCTGAATATCATTAATATTTTCAATAATAAATTAACCCCTAAAATAGATAAATATGATCAGGAGTGCACCTGCATGATCATGAAGATAGGAGACCACCTGTCAAATAAATAATTCATTTTGAACTTTTGTGAGTATTCATCTTAATCATATGCACAGGAAACTGCTAGGTTTATATTCTAATTGTACTGTAGTGTGAAGTTTACAGCCAAGGTCAGAATTTGATGTGCAGCCCAGGCCACAGTTTGATGGGCAGCCCAGGCCACAGTTTGATGTGCAGCCCAGCCCGCAGTTTGATGTGCAGCCCAGCCCACAGTTTAATGTGCAGCCCAGCCCACAGTTTGATCTGTAGCCCAAGTCACAGTTTGATGTGCAGCCCAGGTCACAGTTTGATGTGCAGCCCAGGCCACAGTTTGATGTGCAGCCCAGCCCACAGTTTGATCTGTAGCCCAGGTCACAGTTTGATGTGCAGCCCAGGTCACAGTTTGATGTGCAACCCAGGCCACAGTTTGATGTGCAGCCAAGCCCACAGTTTGATGTGCAGCCCAGCCCACAGTTTGATCTGTAGCCCAGGTCACAGTTTGATGTTCAGCCCAGGTCACAGTTTGATGTGCAGCCCAGCCCACAGTTTGATCTGTAGCCCAGGTCACAGTTTGATGTTCAGCCCAGGTCACAGTTTGATGTGCAGCCCAGCCCACAGTTTGATCTGTAGCCCAGGTCACAGTTTGATGTTCAGCTCAGGCCACAGTTTGATGTGCAGCCCAGGCCACAGTTGATGTGCAGCCAAGGCTACAGTTTGATGTGCAGCTCAGGCCACAGTTTGATGTGCAGCTCAGGCCACAGTTTGATGTGCAGCCCAGGCCACAGTTTGATGTACAGCCCAGCCCACAGTTTGATGTGCAGCCCAGCCCACAGTTTGATGTGCAGCCCATCCCACAGTTTGATGTGCAGCCCAGGCCACAGTTTGATGTGCAGCCAAGGCCACAGTTTGATGTGCAGCCCAGGCCACAGTTTGATGTGCAGCCCAGGCCACAGTTTGATGTGCAGCCCAGATCACAGTTTGATGTGCAGCCCAGGCCACAGTTTGATGTGCAGCTCAGGCCACAGTTTGATGTGCAGCCCAGGTCACAGTTTGATGTGCAGCCCAGATCACAGTTTGATGTGCAGCCCAGGCCACAGTTTGATGTGCAGCCCAGGTCACAGTTTGATGTGCAGCCCAGATCACAGTTTGATGTGCAGCTCAGGCCACAGTTTGATGTGCAGCCCAGGTCACAGTTTGATGTGCAGCCCAGGCCACAGTTTGATGTGCAGCTCAGGCCACAGTTTGATGTGCAGCCCAGGTCACAGTTTGATGTGCAGCCCAGATCACAGTTTGATGTGCAGCCCAGATCACAGTTTGATGTGCAGCCCAGGCCACAGTTTGATCTGTAGCCCAAGTCACAGTTTGATGTGCAGCCCAGGCCACAGTTTGATGTGCAGCCCAGGCCACAGTTTGATGTGCAGCCAAGGCCACAGTTTGATGTGCAGCTCAGGCCACAGTTTGATGTGCAGCCCAGGCCACAGTTCGATGTGCAGCCCAGGCCACAGTTTGATGTGCAGCCAAGGTCACAGTTTGATGTGCAGCCCAGGCCACAGTTTGATGTGCAGCCAAGGCCACAGTTTGATGTGCAGCCCAGGCCACAGTTGATGTGCAGCTAAGGCCACAGTTTGATGTGCAGCCTAGGCCACAGTTTGATGTGCAGCCTAGGCCACAGTTTGATGTACAGCCCAGCCCACAGTTTGATGTGCAGATCAGGCCACAGTTTGATGTGCAGCTCAGGCCACAGTTTGATGTGCAGCCCAGGCCACAGTTTGATGTGCAGCCCATCCCACAGTTTCATGTGCAGCCACCCCACAGTTTCATGTGCAGCCCAGGCCACAGTTGATGTGCAGCTAAGGCCACAGTTGATGTGCAGCTAAGGCCACAGTTTGATGTGCAGCCTAGACCACAGTTTGATGTGCAGCCTAGGCCACAGTTTGATGTGCAGCCCAGCCCACAGTTCGATGTGCAGCCCAGCCCACAGTTTGATGTGCAGCCCAGGTTAGAGTTTGATGTGCAGCCCAGGTCACAGTTCGATGTGCAGCCCAGGTCACAGTTTGATGTGCAGCTCAGGCCACAGTTTGATGTGCAGCTCAGGCCACAGTTGATGTACAGCCCAGGCCACAGTTTGATGTGCAGCTTAGGCCACAGTTTGATGTGCAGCTCAGGCCACAGTTTGATGTGCAGCTCAGGCCACAGTTTGGTGTGCAGCTCAGGCCAGTTTGATGTGCAGCCCAGGCCATAGTTGATGTGCAGCCCAGGCCACAGTTTGATGTGCAGCTCAGGCCACAGTTGATGTGCAGCCCAGCCCACATTTTGATGTGCAGCTCAGGCCACAGTTTGATGTGCAGCTCAGGCCACAGTTTGGTGTGCAGCTCAGGCCACAGTTTGATGTGCAGTCCAGGTCAGAGTTTGATGTGCAGCCCAGGCCACAGTGGATGTGCAGCCAAGGCCACAGTTTGATGTGCAGCTCAGGCCACAGTTTGATGTGCAGCCCAGGTCACAGTTTGATGTGCAGCCCAGGCCACAGTTTGATGTGCAGCCCAGACCACAGTTTAATGTGCAGCTCAGGCCACAGTTTGATGTGCAGCTCAGGCCACAGTTTGATGTGCAGCTCAGGCCACAGTTTGATGTGCAGCCCAGGCCACAGTTTGGTGTGCAGCCCAGGTCACAGTTTGATATGTCCCTCGCCTTTTGTCACCTCCTAACTTCCACTATATAGGTCCCTGCTTGTCACATGTCACTACTCAAAACAGTGTCCTCTGTATAGGTTACTGCAGCTTCCTACAATATCTTATTTCTTTTAGGTAAATTTATTATATAATGTTTACCCATTTTTAAAGAATTCTAAAACATGGTTGGGTATTAGGACAAAGATAGCAGTAACACAACCCCTCCAAGCCCCCTGCTTCATCAGATGAAAGTTGGGCAGAGGCAAACTAGATCACAGAGGACAACCTAATGATTCCAGACAACGTAAATTATAGGCAGCATCTGTCACATTTATAATCCTTCATAATTATTCATATGCGGGTATAAGCAGCTAAACAGTGGGGTATTAAGATTATATTATTATTATAATACACAATATTGAAATGAACAGACGTGAAACCAATGATACCGCAATGATACATGTATAAACATATTCCTAGAATAATTTATATGTAATGTATACAAACTGTAAAATACTTTATTTTCGCTGGAATTAATTTTTGCTGAAAAAGTTGTTTTGTGTGGAATTTATTTTCACTGATTTTTGATGAGTTGAATGTAAAATACAGGAAAAAGAATTTTTGGATTTTATTTTCACTGAATCATTCCTTCAGCGAAAATGGCAAAAATTAATTCCAAGCAAAAATAAAGTATTTCACAGTAATTGCCATCCACAAATACATCCACAAACAAAACGTACCCCAGCATTTAGGCACACTAAACCAATCTGCATAGTATGATACATATGAAAAGCATTTATTTACAGATATAACGTATACTGTAAACTGTTTTCTTCACTGCTACCAATGTTTTGAAGATTTAATGGCCTTTGTAAGGACAAAATTTCATAAAAGTGACCCTGTGTTTTTAAATTAAAGTATTCAACAATTTTCCCTCACAAAATTAACATTACTATTTAACAGCGATAAGTGAACAGAATAATTGTTTGAAATGAAGTTTTGACCTTTGCCCCAGTTCACCCTGCCCACAAAGGGAAATAAGGGAGGCCACATGTTTACCCAAATTTTAGGCTTGTCTAAATTTTGTGTGTGAACATGAAGATAAACATTTACTACAGTCGAAATAAGTAACATATCGGAAGGGGTGCCAAGGCCAGTCCTAATTTAATTCCTAGTTAAGCCTGCCTAACTACAGCACGAATAAGCGTCAGATAGTTGATAACAATCGTAGTGGCCAAAAGAGAAAATTTTCAGTTTTGTTTCTATTTCCCTGAAATTATCGTACAATTCTAGTGTCAAGTCTCGTTGATATTGCCTAGTTTCAAAACAAAACATATTTCAAATCAAATTGAACTGTTTGGTTATGCCCACTCTCCACTCTCGCCATCTACGACTCAAAATTGGGAGAACTCCAAGATGATTAAGACGCCATTCTGATGATGCCAATTACATCTTGTTATGTAAATACAGAAAAACCCTGAGAAAAAACACTACGGTGAGGTCCGCCATGTTGAACACTTTTGACGTAACAAATCTAGATTCCAATGAGAAGAGGGCGCTTTAGGCCGGCATAAAGAATGAAATTTTGACTGTATGAAAGCGAACAAAAAATTAGGGCTGGCCTAAAGAAAGTTAAATGTAAAACAGGCTAAAGTCTTTCTTTTTTGAGATCTACGCAGTCTTCTCATCAACACAAAACACACACTATTGAACCCCTGTATCCCAGGTAATCAATCACTTAGATTGCTGCTAGTACGTTTGATTGATGACAATGATAACACAAAGATAGCATACAAGTTCAACATTAAAATGGTACTGTACCACATTTAAAGTCAAAGGTTTCAGTGTACTGTAAAATACTTTATTTTAGCTAGATTTAATTTTTCTTAAAAAGACATTTTGCCTGTTTTATATGGAGTTTATTTTCACTTATTTTTGATGAGTTGAATGTAAAATACAGAAAAACAAGCAGCCTTTTGGCTGAGATAGCTCCACTGTTAGCAATGCACATTTCAATTGAGAATTGAAGATATCATCACAAAATGAACAAATCTGAGAGAGATCCACCTGTAGTACAAATGTACCTATATGTATAATATCAAAGCAATTGGACTTGCGGTTTTAACAAGAAGTTGAAAATATCACTTTTTACCAAAAATGACAAATATTCATCAAAATTAGAGAATTAAATATATCACCATGAAATGAACAAAACTGAGAGATCTCCCCATGCTACATATACAATGTACTTGTACACCAAGTATTATAGCAATCTGACTTGTAGTTTTCAAGAAGCAGTTGAAAAAGTTGAAAGTTGACGATGACAGATAATCTGTAAATATAATACTGTAAGCTTCGCTCGACTACGGTAAGCAGAGCTAAAAAGTATATTCACTGGATTTTATTTTCATTGAAACATTTCATCAGCAAAAAATAGCGAAAATAATCTTCAACTAATAATTTCAACTGAATATTATATAAACCATAATTTTCACTGCTGGAAATATTTATGCCTTTAGGACTTTATACCATAGCACATCAGAGAAATTTTCACTGAATCGCAAAATTCTTTTGTGAAATCCTAATTTAATCTCAAAGTTGTACATGTAGAAACATAAATGCCATGCCTATGTGTTTATGTATTAGTATGCTCCTGTTAAACAAAAAAAAAAAAAAAAAACCTTACAACAAACCAGATGATGTGACAGGTTATTCACAACATATCAAAATCTGCGACTCAACTACACTTTTTCACTTTCATAGTGTGTAGCAAAAACATAAACAACAATCAGTCACGGATCTTGACAAAGTGTTGAGTGAGTAAAGGCAGATAGTTTGAAAATAAGTGGAAAAGTCTTTGTAAGCCCTCAAGAAGGTCCTATGATAGAACACTCAACAGCAAAGATTCCTAAGCCTGGATTCTATTCATAGAAACATAACATACATTGTGCTGTATTCAAAATTGTAATTCCTTACACGTACTGGTCCTTCAGTAACCTAGTTACAAAGCACCAAAGTAAATTTACTTTAGAACAAATTAACATTAAAACTATTTCAATAAACCAACAGCTTTTCTTTGATTGTGTATTGAACATAATTTATCAATCAAAATACACAATATATTGCAATGGTTTTAAAATATGCATATTGTGCTTATGGTTAAGTCTATTACATTACAATTGTGATTGTTACCATGGAGATAAAGAAAAGACTAATTTTATTTTGCTTCATTTAACTTTCACCTTGAAATTAATGAAAAATCAAGTTGTCTGCTTCTGGAGACCCACTCATCTGGTAACCTGAGTTAACAACCACAAATGTGAGACGACAAATAACAAATTGATGATACACTCAAGTCCTGGCTTTCTGAACATTACAAAAGCATCTACTCTGTTATGGAAGATGCAAGACCCTATATAAATATTTATAATAAGGCACAACATATCCAAAGTTTTTTTCAAGCTTGGTGTAAATATCCAATTCTCAATACCTTGAATACAGAGCAGTCTGTTTGATTTGACATGCGACTTTCGAACTTCCGGGGTTGACATAGTTTCAACATTTTGCGCAGAATGGCAAAAAAAAAATGCAATGAACCGTCAGTTCAGCCAACATAGAAGTGGAGTCATTTCATTCATTCACTCAATATGTCATATTACCGGTATACAAATGCAGTTTTC